TTAACATTGAAATATTCTGTGAGCCCAGTTTTAACAAAATTATTCTTAATTTGTGTGTGTTTATTGCTAAAATAAGGCAAATCAGAGGCAAAATGTGCTCTGCTTGTGTCCTGGACTGCCAGTAGTGGACACCTTGCATTGTATAATGAATACGGTAGGCACGTAGTTATTCATTCAGATCGTCGAGTTCAAAACGATATTTGCATCCACAACACCCTTTAAAACTATCAATTTCGCCTTTTTTTTGTGTTTTGGTGCCATTTTCGGGCCAGTATGAGTTATGAATTTGTGGCTGACATCAACCGATCTGCAAAATAAAAATAGTTCAGAAAATGATTTTCCAATGTCAATTTGAGGCCTAATAAAGAATTGAACTTGAAAAATCTTGAGCCTATGAGCCTTTTTCTGAAACTGAAATATTTTTCAGATCATTTGATGTCAGTCATATGTTCATAACTCATACTGGCCCGAGGATAGCACCAAAACATGGGTATTGGATAAGTTGTGGCACCATCATAACCATCACAACCACCATTAAAACATGATTGAGTAATAATATTGCATTTGTTATTAACATTGAAATATTCTGTGAGCCCAGTTTTAACAAAATTATTCTTAATTTGTGTGTGTTTATTGCTAAAATAAGGCAAATCAGAGGCAAAATGTGCTCTCCTTGTGTCCTGGACTGCCAGTAGTGGACACCTTGCATTGTATAATGAATACGGTAGGCACGTAGTTATTCATTCAGATCGTCGAGTTCAAAACGATATTTGCATCCACAACACCCTTTAAAACTATCAATTTCGCCTTTTTTTTGTGTTTTGGTGCCATTTTCGGGCCAGTATGAGTTATGAATTTGTGGCTGACATCAACCGATCTGCAAAATAAAAATAGTTCAGAAAATGATTTTCCAATGTCAATTTGAGGCCTAATAAAGAATTGAACTTGAAAAATCTTGAGCCTATCAGCCTTTTTCTGAAACTGAAATATTTTTCAGATCATTTGATGTCAGTCATATGTTCATAACTCATACTGGCCCGAGGATAGCACCAAAACATGGGTATTGGATAAGTTGTGGCACCGACTTCAATTCCTTGCATTAGGTAAAAAATCAATCAGTTCTACATTAGACTCTTCGTGGAACAAAAGGCTTTAAATAGACACTTGAAGCTTTTTCACTCATTATTATTAACAATAAGATGATGCAATAAAACAGGATGAACAGAGATATTAATACAACTCAGTTGCAGCCATAAAAAACAGTCAATGATACACAATTTGATTGCAAAATGATGCAAACTTAAATTTATATATAATATTGCTGTATATTGCTATATATATGCTGTATAATATTGCTGAAACATTACTAAAAGCGTGTTTTCTCAAATACGTTATACCAAGCGTTTTCTTCATTTTACGAATTTATTTAATTTTGTTTCAGGCATAACTGACGAACAAGGCATTGCTGCAGACCTACCTTTTAGAAATTTAACCATTAGCTTCCTCGGATTGCAAAACACTAAATATTTTGGCAAATTCAGATAATATAATGCCCCTTTGGGAGCTCCTATAATTCACAGGGAATTTTAATTTTTCGTTTGAGCTAAAACAACACATACGATGAAAAGTTTTTAACTCATTTCTCGGCATCAATAACATATGTAACTGAACTTTAAGATTTGATTATCTTTTTTCACTAATCGAAATATTTTGAGTCTTCTCGTTTTTCCTGAAAAGGAATCGCAAATTATCTTTCCTGTGCATGGTTGAAAAACTTGTTAATGAAAAATGGTTTTGATAATTGATTTATAATATGATATATTAATAATCAATAATCATATAATCTGATAATGAAGCAGGTACATCATAAATGAACTTAACATTATCTTGATTTGAATTATTTTTCTGCTAGTCAAATCACTTCTGATCAAATGCAAGTGCCTAGACAAAATAAGAAAATATATTTATTATTAAATGATTATTTGAAATATGTTGAAATACTGATTAGGGAAAGATAATGAATACAGGTGAACCGAATGAGAACAATTACAGTATAACTGACCTCATCTGATGATAGCTACGAGTTGTTTTGTCCTTTTTATAGCCATGATTTTCTCGATATACACAAAGATATAAAAGATGTAGTGCAATGTAGTGTTTAGTTGATTCTGATAATTTGTGAGAAATAAGTTAATAAACATGCTTCTCGATCATTTCAATGTAAACATGACTTTATTCAACATTTTTTGTGGTTGTTTAACTGTTTGGTTGATCAAGTATTTGTTCAACTTTATTAGTCGACTTCATAAACTTCCTCCTGGTCCATGGGGTCTGCCTTTTGTGGGTTATTTGCAAAGAGTAATAGCAAGAGAGAGCACGTCAATGAGAGCTATAGATAAGAGAGATAAGAAGTTAAAAGGTGACGGAAAAGAGGGAGCTAGCAGCGAGAAAGAGATGATGAAAGAGACGAAAAAATGACAAAAAAATAAATGTAAACAAATTTTTTGATGAGAAAAAGTTGAAAAAAATTAAAGAAAAATTAAAAGGGTTGTTAGTGGCGCCATCGCGTCCGAGACCTTTTCCCTATCCTTATCTCAAAAAGATAGTTAACATTGCATGCTACCTCTTGTTATACTCTTTGGTTATTTGACTGTTATCAAGAAAGATGCGTATATTCATATGACTGAATTGAGTAAAAGGTTACTGGCTAAAAAGTATGGACCAGTATTCAGCTTCAAATTCGGTGAACTTGATGTGGTTGTGATCAACGAGGTAAAGCCATTGAAGAAGCTTTCAAGAATGATCATTTATTTGCTCGCTTGAATACAACCTTTATTCCTGAATTCAAACGTGCTTCTTCGTTACTTGAAATGTCGGGTGAACCTTGGAAACAACAGAGACGAGTTGCTCTTACAATACTTCGGAATGTTGGTTTCGGGAAACTAGCGCTCGAAGAAAAATTAAAACAAGAGATTAATATGTTCATTGACTCTCTAAAATCGGCGAACGGTGCAGCAGTTGATTTCGGTGAGGTAATCAAACTGAGTGTAGCAAATAATATCTCAATATCTCAATACGAAAGACTCAAAGATAATTCATTTCAGTGTCATTTCTTATTCAAAGATGCAATAGTTGTTTGCAGCTTTTAATCTGTTCATCGTGACCCAAATCTATGGAATGATTCACATTTATTCAGACCAGAAAGATTTCTCAGTGAAGATGGGACAACGGTAATCAAATCACCTTATTTGATGCCATTTAATGGAGGCAAAATGATCTGTTCAGATGCAACTTTGTCCTTGACCGAGCTGTTTCTTTGGTAAAGGCCAAAAACAGCTAAATACAAAGCTACCCAAATCATATCAATTCAAATTGCAAACAAGTGCAAGAAAACCTTTCTATGGGAGTCATGGCAATGTTAAAAATTTACTTATAATAATATCAGAATAATATTAACTCCGATCGAGTGCATAAATGGCCTACATGCACTTATATTGATGTCATTTTGCTTCTAAAATTATTGAGTAAATTGTTTAAGGCAAACTTATCAAACTCAAGCAAAAGTCACTGGTAAAAAACAAAAGAACTTTTCGATAACCCTAATTAAGTATTTGTACGAGCTTTGTATTTGTCTGTTCTGAACTTGGTCGTTGCGAGCTTGGCTGTTTTGAATTTGGCCTCAAATCGCTTCTTTATTTGGCTTCAAATTTGCTTGAAATAATTTAAATGCATGCTAGTTCTTATTAACTTTTTTCATTATTAATAAAACTTCATTTTTGAAATTTCATCGCAGGCAATTTGGTGTTTGTAGAAAAATCTCGCAGACTCATCGAAATTATAAAAAACTCAAAACAAAACAAGTAAATGGTTAAATTATTACAAATGTGGACAGTTATGATACAACTAGAATTGTCTGCTAGCAAAACAATAGTTACAGAAGGTAGCAATCAAGAAAAACCTTGAAATAGTATTTTAGACTTTGAACATTTGAGTGATCAGTTAACGATTGAACAACTTTTTGTGCAATTTAATATGATTGGACAGATCAAGGTTTTTTTCAGAAACTAAAAGAGATGAAGGTTTGGCAAATAAATGATCTGGAACAAGTTGTCCAAGAATTTCGCTGGACAGGTTAAAAGATACAAATTAGTTTGATAGTTCCATTTAAACTCGATTAACAACTTTTTTATTATTAGCTTTAAAAATTCTAAGACTTTAAGGTCCATGTATTACAGTAAAGCTCGTTTTTTTGAGAAACTGAGAGCGAATGAGCCTAACATCAGAGCGAGTGACTGAGACACTTTTGTTTGTTTAAAAATAATAAAAACCTTTGCTTACTGAGAAAAGCAAAGTAATTTTTGATTTTGACCCGCAAGTTTATAAGCCAATAAAGATTTAGTAAGATTGATTTGTATAAGTTTTTGACTGATCGAAATATTTTTGCTTTTCTCGTTTTCCCTTCTTTGCTGAGTTTTGAATGAACAACTTTGCTTACTGAGAGCAATTTTTTAGCAATGAGATAGATATACGATCAACTGACAACGATTAGGCAGTGCATCAAGAATGAACTTATTATTATCTTCATTCGAAATAAAATTGTTTGTTAAAACATCCTAAAACCCTTTGGTTACTGAGAAGAGTAAAGTTATTATATTTTTGGTTTTGATCGGCAAGTTTATAACCCAATAAAAAATAAGTGAAATTGACTTATACTACATGTATAAGTTTTCCACCTTTCACTATTTTGACTTTTCTCATTTCCCTGAAATCGCACCTCATCTTTGTAAATATTGAATAAGCAAAAGTTTTTTTTATGATATTGATCAGAAAATACTGATTAAATATGGAATAGATTTGAGATCAACTGACAACGATTAGCCAGTACATCATAAATGAACTTATTACTATCTTGATTCGTAATAAATTTATCCATAAATCCAGCACGAATCATGTGACAGTGCAATAGAGCTGTTTTTTAATTTAAAAGTCAAGAGATGCTTGATGCTTGATATAAAAGGTGTGTAGTCTAGTGTTAGAAACATTGAAGTGTTTAATTGACTCTCGATATTTGCAAGAACTAAGTGACTCAACATGTTTCTCGATCATTTCAACGTAAGCCCAAATTTATTCAACATATTTTGTGGCTGTTTAACTGTTTGTTTGATCAAGTATTTGTTTAATTTTATTAATCGATTTCGTAAACTCCCTTCTGGCCCATGGGGCTTACCAATTTTGGGTTACTTGCCATTCATTAAGAAAGATGCTTATATTCAAATGACTGAACTCGCTAAAAAGTATGGACCAGTATTCAGCTTTAAATGTGGCCAGTGCGATGTGGTTGTGATCAACGAGGTGAAAGCCATTGAGGAAGCTTTGAAGAACGATCATTTATTGGCTCGTCCAAAAACAACTTTCATTCCAGGACGTAATCCTTCATTAGCTGAAATGTCGGGTGAAACTTGGAAACAACAGCGACGAGTTGCTCTAACTATACTTCGCAATGTTGGTCTAGGGAAAAGTACTCTAGAAACAAAGATCAAAGAAGAGATTGGCCATTTTATTGATGTTTTAAAATCAACTCATGGCAAAGAAGTTAGTTTCAAAGAGTTGAGTGGATTGAGTGTTGCAAATAATATCTCAATCCTTATGTTTGGGCATCGATTTGAATATGATGATCCCATTGGAAATGAAATGAGACGTAATATGCAGAAAGTTAGTGATAATATTGAATACTTCACTAAATTTGTGTTTATGCCTGCAATATTTTTCTTCGTTTCTCTTGCTGCTAAATTCAGTCCTGAGCTCAGAAACGCGAATAGCAGCCAGAAAGAACTAGAAGAGAAAATCACTGAGGAAGTTACTAAACATAGAGAAAAGAAAGCAACCCATGAAATCGAGGATTATATTGATGGTTATTTGCAAGAAATGGATAAGCTAAAGGATTCGAATTTGAGTTTCGATATGAACACATTGCGCCGGAATACTGCTGATTTTTATGCAGCTGGCTCCGACACTACAACAAATACGTTGAGCTTCATGATGTTGTATTTGATTACTTATCCTGAATATCAACAAAAAATTCGAGATGAAATTAAGGAAACTATTGGATTCGAACGTCAACCAGATTATGCAGACAGAACTTCAATGCCTTTCACAATGGCGTTCATCTATGAATCTCTTCGAATGTCATCGCTCGTTCCTCTTAATATATTAAGACGTGCTTCTCAAGACACGAAAGTAATGAACCATTCAATACCTAAAGATACTTTAGTTATTTTCAACTTTTGGGCTGTTCATCGTGATCCAAATCTTTGGAATGATCCTCATTCATTCAAACCAGAGAGATTCCTCAGCGATGATGGGACACAAGTAATAAAGTCACCCTATTTGATGCCATTTAGTGGAGGCAAAAGGATATGTCCTGGTGCAACTTTGGCTTTGATAGAGTTGTTTCTTTATTTGGTTTCAATTGTGCAAAATTTTATCGTTTCACCTCCAGAAGGACATAAAATATCTGATGAAATAAACTATATCTTCATTAGAATGGTGAAAAATCCAGTGAAACTCACAAATTTTCACACTTTGAAGCATTAAGAACCTTTTAATGTTTACCAAACAAACTCTTGGCTCATCTTCGCAATCGCTTCAAGTTTTATTGAAATAATTGTAATGAAATGTAACAATTACACACCTTTTTGTTTCTTTCGTTATTAAAATATTATTTTTTTCATCCAGTTTTCGTTAACGATGCAATAACTTTCTATCAGATTCAATTATTTTTAAAAAACAAGATCTACTTGTGAAGAAATTTATGGCTCTATTCAACTCGATCAACAGCTTTACTCGCTATTGAAGTCTCAGTTAAAGATTCTCATAAGTCGTATAATATATAAGATTTCGTGTACAAGCTTTTTCTTTAATCCCTTCAGTATTATTTTACTGCGCTATTGACTTTATGAAGCAAAGATGTTATGTTCTGATATGCATAAGACAATGAAGGTTAGCATCTTGGTCTAGATTCGAAGATCTTGTTGCTGTTTCTTTGGTAGCAAACCAATTGAGTGTCATTAATGATACTTCATATTAACAGAGCTTTTTTGTTGTTATTAAGTAATAACACAATAAATATGCACTGGAGTACCCGGTTAAAGCAATTTTGCTCCATTTAAAACAATTTTCACGGTCGCCATCTATGAATCTTTACGAACTGGCATTGTTTTTGACTGACTTTTGTGTTTACAACATTTGATGAAAACAATCAGAAGTAATAGTGATTTTGTTGGCTGAACAAAAAATTCAATCGTATTGATAATCCATTGAATCTGGTTGTGATCAAAGGAACTGAGCCAATGAAAGAAGCCATTGCAAACAAATAATCGATCGTCCAAAGGACTCTTTCGCTACTGGAATGAACAAGATACCTTCATTGGTTGAAATGTCAGGTGAAGTCTGGCGTCTACAGAGACGAGTTGCTGCAGGTTCAGACACAGTATCAGCTACGCTTAAGTGGATAATGTTGTATAAGGTTTCATATCCTGGATGTCAACAGTGAATTCAAGATGAGATTAAAGAAACAAGTGGATCTGAACGTGAACCTGAATATGCTGATAGACAACAAATGCCTTACACAATGGCCTGTTTCTATGAATCACTCAGACTTTCGTCAATAGTTGCTCTTACAAGAACTTATGAATGAAAAATGAAACAGAATAGACATACAGAAATGAAAATAAGGCTATCATGCATGCAGAAATTTTATTTTTCTCAACAGAAATCTGATGGCGAATTTTAGTTATCATATCACTTTCGAAGAAATACTCGGTGCAGCGAAACATTGCAGTGTTTAGTTGATTCTGGTGATTCTGGGACTTACTTTGATGTGGTTGTGATCAATAAAACTGGGCCAATGAAAGAAGCTATTCTCCTAAGTGTTGAAAACTTGGTCTCAATCATTTTATTCGGTCATTGATATGACTATGAGAGTCCATTTGCTATTGAAATGGCCAACAGTTTAAAGAAAGTTAATCAAAATTTCCATTATTTCTATGGACTTACTTTTCTTCCATCATTTTATAACTTCATTTCTTCCTTGAGTTTTCTATCTCCTAATTACAAGACAATTGCACAAAATCAAAGGCAATTTGAAGATCAAGTAACCACCGAAGTGAAGGAGTGCCTCGAAAAAGGTGATTCTCTTGCAATAAATGATTACATTGCGAGTAACTGAAAATGGAGAGAAAGTACATCATAAATGAACTTATAATTATTTAGATGTGAAATATTTTTTTGCTGATCAATTCGATGTCATTCAAGTGCAAGTGCCTAGATGAAAGAAACAAGACAAAACTAGAAAATAAAGAAATGATACAGATGCACCGATATAAAACAGGCAAGTACAATTGAACTCATTCCTTTGAAATATTGTTTGTCGATACAATGGTTTGTAGTCGAACCATATAATAGTAAATTAGAGACGTTAGGTACTTTTTAAAGTCATGATATATTACATGCTGATGTACTTGATACATGAAATAAAAAGATATAAGAAATGAAATGAACATTGAAGTGTACACTTCTTTCTAATAGTTTGCAAGCGCTTCATGACTAAACATGTTTCTCAATGTAAACCCAACTTTATTCAACATATTTTGTGGCTGTTTAACTGTTTGTTTGATCAAGTATTTGTTTAATTTTATTAATCGACTTCGTAAACTCCCTTCTGGCCCATGGGGCTTACCAATTTTGGGTTACTTGCCATTAACTAAGAAAGATGCGTATATTCAAATGACTGAACTGGCTAAAAAGTATGGATCAGTATTCAGCTTTAAATGTGGCCAGTTCGATGTGGTTGTGATCAACGAGGTGAAAGCCATTGAGGAAGCTTTCAAGAATGATCATTTATTGGCTCGTCCAAATACAACCTTTATTCCTGGATTCGAACGTGCTTCTTCATTGCTTGAAATGTCGGGTGAACTTTGGAAACAACATCGACGAGTTGCTCTTACAATACTTCGTAATGTTGGTCTTGGGAAGAGTACTCTCGAAACAAAGATCAAAGAAGAGATTGGCCATTTTATTGATGTTTTAAAATCAACTCATGGCAAAGAAGTTGATTTCAAGGAGGTTATTGGATTGAGTGTTGCGAATAATGTATCGATCCTTTTGTTTGGACATCGTTTTGAATACAGTGATCCAATGGGAATTGAAATGTGTTGTAATGAGAAGCAAGTTAGTGATAATGTTCAATACTTCAGTAAAATGTTTATGCCTTCAATAAGTTTTTTTGTTTCTTTGGCTACCCAATTCAGCTCAGTACTCAGAAAAATGACCAACAGCCAGAAGGAAATAGAAAAGAAAATCACAGCAGAAGTCAGAAAACACAAGGCAAAGAAAGCAACTCATGAAATTGAGGATTATATCGATGGTTACTTGCAAGAAATGGATAAGCAAAAAGATTCCGGTACCAGTTTTACATAATATGGACACATTGCGGCGGAATACTGCTAACTTTTACGCAGCTGGCATGGATACTGCAACACATGTATTGAGCTTCATGATGTTAAATTTGATTACTTATCCTGAATATCAACAGAAAATTCGAAATGAAATTAGGCAAACTATTGGGCTCTATCGTCAACCAGATTATGCAGACAGAGTTTCAATGCATTTTACAATGGCGTTCATTTATGAATCTCTACGAATTTCAACAATACTTCCTCTTAATGTCCATAGACGCGCTTCTCAAGACACGAAGATAATGAACTTCTTTATACCCAAAGATACAATAGTTATTTTCAACTTTTGGGCTGTTCATCGTGATCCAAATCTATGGAATGATCCCCATCTATTCAAACCAGAGAGATTCCTCAGTGAAGATAAACAGAAAGTAATTAAGTCACCAAATTTAATTCCATTCAGTGGAGGCAAAAGGATCTGTCCAGGAGCGACTTTGGCCTTAACCGAGCTTTTTCTTTATTTGGTTTCAATGCTTCAAAATTTTCAAGTTTCAGCTTCAGAAGGCGAGGAAATATCACACGAAGTAAAATATGCCTTCCTCAGAAATGTGGAAAAACTAGCGAAACTCAATTTTCACATTCTTACGGAAAATTAACAAATGATATTCGAACCCACTATATTCTTTTTATGAGCTAAATTCAATTGCATCAAATCAAACTCATCAAAAATAATTGCACCTTACCATTGATAATAAAGTAAGGTATATTAATATTAAAATTGTATTTCTTTCGTTCAGTTCAAAGGATAACTTATTCAATATGTTATTGAACTTGTAATTGAAGGGCTGAACAATTGACAAATTTTATTCTAGAAAAATTATTATAACACATAATACATGGACAGTGAAATGATTATTTTAATAATTGAACAATAATTGATGCAACTGATACCTGTAGCCATCATATTTTCACCAATATTGATAACTTGCTTCGATGAGACCATTCAAATATCTCATACTATTTCTGGTTCTGTCTTGGTAAATTGGGTTCATAGACTGCAATTGATCTTCAACTACCACAATTGATTATAATCACTAATTTAAATCAAACCTTGCAACTCACATTTTTCAAATTTATATTTTGGCAAACTCAGATAATATAATACTATTATATAATATAATGCCCCTTTGGCAGGTCACATAATGCACAGGGAATTTTGAGGTAAAGCAACATACATAATGAAGAGTTTTCAACGCATTTCTCGGCATCAATAACATTATAAAACTGAACTTAAATTCAGATTTAATTATTTATTTTTTCACTAATCGAAAAATTTTGAGTCTTCTCGTTTTTCCTGAAAAGGAATCGCAAATTATCTTTCCTGTGCATGGTTGAAAAACTTGTTAATGAAAAATGGTTTTGATAATTGATTTATAATATGATATATTAATAATCAATAATCATATAATCTGATAGTGAAGCAGGTACATCATAAATGAACTTAATTCAAATCAAGATAATGTTATTTTTCTGTTAGTCAAATTGCATCTGATCAAATGCAAGTGCCTAAACAAAATAAGAAAATATATTTATTAATACATGATTAGTCGAATATATGTTGAAATAATGATTAGGTAAAGATAATGAATACAGGTAAACCGAATGAGAACAATTACAGTATAACTGACCTCAATATAATCACTTATTAATCATCTGATGATAGTTACGAGTTGATTTGTCCTTTTTAAAGCCATTATTTTCTTGATATATCCACAGATATAAAAGATGTAGTGTAGGGTAAGAAACATTGCAGTGTTTAGTTGATTCTGTTAATTTGTGAGAAATAAGTAACGCAACATGCTTCTCGATCATTTCAAATCGAACTCAACTTTATTCAACATATTTTGCGCTTGTTTAACTGTTTGGTTGATCAAGCATTTGATCAACTTTATTAATCGACTTCGTAAACTTCCTTCTGGTCCATGGGGTCTACCCATTGTCGGTTATTTGCCATTCATCAAGAAACATGCGTATATTCAAATGACTGAACTGGCTAAAAAGTATGGACCAGTATTCAGCTTCAAATGTGGTCAGTGCGATGTGGTTGTGATCAATGAGGTGAAAGCCATTGAAGAAGCTTTCAAGAATGATCATTTATTGGCTCGTCCAAATACAACCTTTATTCCTGGATTCAAACGTGCTTCTTCATTGCTTGAAATGTCGGGTGAACCTTGGAAACAACAGAGACGAGTTGCTCTTACAATACTTCGTAATGTTGGTTTCGGGAAACTAACGCTCGAAGAAAAAGTGAAACAAGAGATTAATATGTTCATTGACTCTCTAAAATCGGCGAACGGTGCAGCAGTTGATTTCGGTGAGGTAATCAAACTGAGTGTAGCAAATAATATCTCAATACTTTTGTTTGGTCATGGCTTTGAATATACCGGTAGTGGTAATGTTTTGGTGAACAATTTTAATTGTAATTTTAAATTAACTTAACAATATTAACACAATTAATTTTCAATATTATGACCTTTAGCATAGTATATTTCACGAAGACGTCTAGGCCAAGATTGCATTGCACTTTGTATCATTGTTAAAGGGACTTTTTTGACCTCATCTCTAATAATCTTTTTTAAACCTGATAGCGTTGTTGCTTTTCGCTTAGCGACCTGACTTTTAAGGTAACCCCAAAGAAAAAAATCACAAGGGGCGGCATCAGGACTAGTTGGGGTATGCTCTTCGGGGGAAATGAACTGAATTTTTTTAGAGTTTAAAAAATCTAAGGTCACTTTTGCAGTGTGTGATGGCGCAGAGTCTTGGTGAAATATATAATCGTTTTCGGGGAAAAGTTTAGGGGCTAAATCATTTATAAATGGGGTCAAAATGGCACTAATATAATATTGAGCATTAATCTTTGCTCCTGGTTCCACAAAAATTGGTTCAGTCAATCCACGAGCAGACATACCGATCCAAACCATAACTCCTTTTTTGTGTCGATTTTCAGTTAAAGGTGAACAATCTCGACGGGTTTGATCACGTTCTATCCATTGTATTGGCCTCGTTTTGTTGGTATCATCAATGTAGAACCAGGCTTCATCGCTTGTTATAAATTTTTCCCATTGATTGCACTTTAACTTGGTATACAAAGGCCAAGATCGGCGCCGTCTTTTCTCAACGTTTTTAGCGGTCAAACGGTGATTTTTTGGCTTTTTGACCTTTTTCAAATCGATTTTTTTTCGAATAGCATATCTGATGACATCAATTGTTGTATCAAAGTGCTTTGCCATGTCAGAAAATGTTGGTGGATTGGATTTTTTCATCATTCTTTTCAATGACGCTAATTGCACCTTTGTTAGAGTTCCGAACGACTCACGACCAGTCTTGACATAAGAGTTCGATGATGAAGATGATCGGTTATTTTTGATGTTGGACAGATGAGCTTTCGATATCGATGTTCCTTCTTTTTTAAAAATACTTTGTATAACAGAAAATGAGTATCCAAGTTCTAAAAAAGATTTAATTCGACCAATGTCGTTATCGCTGAATTTTTGGGCTGGCATTTCACAAGTTCAAAAGTTATTCTAATTAACATAAAATTGACATAATATATTCCAAATTTAAGCTTACTTAGCAACTGTTGTCATATCAATAGAGCGGTAAAGGCGAAATGAAATTGTTCACTAAAACATTACCATTACCGGTACTGATCCGATCGCAAGTGAAATGTGTCGGAATATGAGACAAGTTATCAATAATATTGAATACTTCAGTAAATTTATGTTTATGCCTTCAATTAAATTTTTTGTTTTCCTGGCTGCCCAATTCAATTCTGAACTCAAAAAAGTGACCAGCAATCAGAAGGAACTAGAAGAAAAAATTACAGTTGAAGTCATCAAGCACAAGGAAAAGAAAGCAACTCATGAAATTGAAGATTATATCGATGGTTACTTGCAAGAAATGGATAAACAGAAAGATTCCAATACAAGTTTTAATATGGACACATTGCGGCGGAATACTGCTGACTTTTATGCAGCCGGTGCCGATACTACAACACTTGTACTGAATCATATGATGTTATACTTGATTACATATCCTGAATACCAACAAAAAATAAGAGAGGAAATTAAGCAAACTATTGGATTCGAACGTCAACCAGATTATGAAGACAGAACTTCAATGCCTTTCACAATGGCGTTCATCTATGAAACTCTAAGAATAGCAACAATCACTCCTCTTAATTTACACAGACGGTCTGCTCAAGATACGAAGGTAATGAACTACTTTATACCCAAAGATTCAATAGTTATTTTCAACTTTTGGGCTGTTCATCGTGATCCAAATCTATGGAATGATCCCCATCTATTCAAACCAGAGAGATTTCTCAATGATGATGGGACAAAAGCAGTTAAATCGCCAAATTTGATTCCATTTAGTGGAGGCAAAAGGGTCTGTCCAGGTGCAAATTTTGCCATGACTGAGCTTTTCCTTTACTTGGTTTCAATTTTGCAAAATTTTCAAGTTTCAGCTCCAAAAGGAGATAAAATATCTCATGAAGTAGTATATGCCTTCAATAGAATACTGAAAAAACCTTTAAAAGTTCATTTTCACATTTTGAGTCTTTAAAAAGGTCGAACTCACCAATTAATGTACTATAATGTGTTTTGCTTAATCACCAACTCAATTTGGACTCTTCAATTGTAAAAATCTTGTAGACTAAGTTTTTTCTTTCAATAAAATTTACTTTTCTGTCAACTGAACTCTACACCTGTGAAAGATTAACTAATTGCTTCTAAAATATCAAAATTTTATTTCATTTAGTAAAATTTATTGTTTACTAGATTATGGTGGTAGATGGAGCCTGCAAAAAACAAAGAACCGAGTACTCTATACATATTATATCACTTAAGACTCCTGGTTAGTTCATAATTACTATAATTAGTATAATCATTTCTTATCCTTATCCAGAAAAATGACATTGACTGTCATTAATTCATTGTCAAGATTTGTTCGTAAAAGCTTTTCTAGTGTTAATTGTTGATCATTTATTCACGCTTTGTGATTGAACAAGATTTAAGGACAAAAAATTGAAATAAACAATCAATCCTTCTATTAAGAGTATTGTTCAAGTGTAATATCTTTGGATATCTTTATCTAGTGGATCTGGTTGCTTTTCTGGTTATTTTGTTTACAATTTCAGTTATAATTCATTATTTATCATTGATAGTCCAAAAATGTTATTTAATTTGATTCTCTAAACAAAACAAAAGAAGCAACGACAACAATTATAAGTATACATAAGAATAATAATAATCATAATACTCTTTTCATAATTTCCAACTAGTTTTTGCTTTTTGATGACAATTTAATTGAATTGTTTCAATTAAATTACCATTCAACATCACTTAAGTTGTTAGTATTTTCTTAATTGTACTTTTTTCCCCTAATTATTGGCTTTTTGTTTTGTTATGTTGATATTTATATTTACATATATATTATAAATTGCATTCAGATTTAGTTCATTTTATGTTTTCATTAATTTTACAAGTCACTCTTGATGATCTATAGTCATTTATATTAATCGTTTTGTATCAATTAACCTCGATAAGTACGAAGGTGAGTTTTTAAATGTTCATATTATCTAGAAGAGAGATCCTGATCTGTATGATTCTGTGGAGAAAAGTCACTTTAGGTAATTAAAATTGACAAGCAATTGAGGATGAGATCGGAAGAGGTTTATAATTGAAGGAACTGGTCAATGATCATCGTCATAATCAAAAGTAAATAATAAATAATTATCTATGTAAACAGATGATGAGATGAAAATAATGATTACAATGATACTAGTGATGATATTTCTGACGAGGATGATGATAAAAATGGTAAAAGTGATGAAAAACAATAAAATATTAAGAGGTAAGTAACAAAGAGTTGGTAATTATGATACAATGTAAACCAAAATGGGATAATAAGGAATGATGAGACAACATTGTTGAGTTTTTTTTAGGAATCGGGTAAAAGAGAGAAAGGATTAACAAATAAGATTATAATAGCAATTAATATAATCAAAGTATAGTTATAAATAATAGTTATAAATATGAAATGAGGATAACAGGGAAAAACGAAAAAGGTTCATGTAAAAGAGTCAAAGCCGTTTGTGGCAATTGATTTGGTTGTTTTTGTTTGTTCGTGTTGATTGTTGTCAGTAATCAATCAATCAGTTTTGCATTTCAACCAATTATCTGATGAAATTGGAAAAGAATAGGCAGGGAAAAAACAACGCAACAGCTAAGATGATCGTATTTTAAATACAATTTACATAATGTTTTTCAAATAGAACATGTTTTTTTCTTGCAATCTTTTCCTTTTCCAAAGCTTTTTTTGAATTTCTCTTGTGGCTTTCAGAACTTTCCTTTAGATTCTTTGCTTTTCCCTTGATTCACTGAAAAAGGTGGTTCAGATGGCGATGATGATTAATCTTGACATTGGTTTCTTTGTATGGTTTTCATTGGATAATGATATCAAATTGTTCAAGCCAATTGTGCTTCCATTTGGTTGTAGCTTTTTTTCCTTGGCTCCAACTGAAGATGATTATCTTGGCGAGAATGATGATGATGAGTGAAAATATCGCTTAATTGTACGTGTTGAGAATTGTTGGTAAGAAAAGGATAGCAGAAGCTAATGGATAAAGGATTAAACTTGATTGCAATTGACAATGAATAAATTATAATAGCAATTGTCTTAACCTTGTAATATCACATTAAGCCTACCGATGAAAGATTAATACAAGGAGGGAAGAAAAGACAAAGAAATAATTGAGATTGACAATTAAAAGCAACAATAATGATTCTGTTTTTGTTTTCTCCTTACATATAAATATCAATAATTACTACAACTTTTAGCCTCATTTGTTAACAATGAATAAATCCACTAATTAACTCTGTATTTATATACAAAAAAGGACCAACAAATGTTACTTGCAACTCGAAATATCCATCTATTGAATATTAGCAGAGCTTTACAAAGTATTGATCGCTTTCAGTGTAATGCTTCCATAGATACAATGCATAATGCTTCAGAAATTCATGTAACTCTGTTTACGGTAATCATTATTATTGTTGTATATCATCAACAATTGGTGTCCAAAAACTTTCTTTATCATTAAAATGGACAAAAGAAGGGGAAAGGGAAAAAGTCAGCCAAAATGAAACGTTGAATCCAAAAGTAAAAAAATGTTGAGTGTGCGAAGTTTGAAACAGGTTGACATTCAGCTTTTGTTGCATGGATTACAGATGTTCCTGTTGAGGTTGGAGGCATCATTGGAACCATTGTGATTCTTGGAAAGCATCATCATCATAATCTCGATGAGTCCAATCAGAATTGATACCATTTCTTGTTTTCATACTTGTTCAACAATTGACGTGATAAATTTCGGAAACCTTCAGATTCATCCATCATTCGGGCTGTCTTTTCTTCCAATCTTTCAAGATTTTCACCTCTCTCCGTCAATCCCTGTGATGAAAGGAAATGAAACAAGAAAAAATATTAGTGATAAAAGAAAATAAACAGAACGATTATCATGATTATCATGATGGTTGAGGTATATCAAAGGTAAGGTAATAACAACAAGATAATCAATGAAAGTACAAAATAGAAAAAATATTATGACAGAAATTCAATTGTATGACTTTCTCTTGTTTAAGGTAAACATTTCACTTAGTTTTTTTTCATGTTTCTTGTAATTGAATTATATAATTGATGGTGTAACCAAGTTAAATCATCAATTACATTACTTTTGCCAATCATAATACGAGTGTATTTTATATTGGTCAAATCAAAATTTTATATCACCAAAGAGGAAAATCATTTATTTTGAACCAGAAAAAAATGTTACCAGAATCATTACTTCTGGTAAATCGGGTAATGTTGTAATGACAACTGCTTACATTGAAACATTTGATGAAAGTGAATAAAATTTTCATTTCAATTAAATATTAAATAGTTGATCAAGAAAGACAATTAAGATTAGTGATTGATGAACCTAAAAAATTTATTTTACCTCGGCTAGGCATTGAACTATTCAGCCATTTGCCAATAATGATAACTGTGAACATAAACTAATGATGTTGGAGAAGCCTGAAAATTATACATTAATATGACAATTTGATGGATTCTGGTTGTGAATTATCCTAAATGAAGCAAACCTGTTATCTACAAATCAATGAACCAGTATTCGTTTAACCACCAATTCAAGAATAATTAATTACCTCCAAGAAAAAAGGTAAAAAAATAAGGTTTATCCTTTAAGTGGACAATAAATCATGAGAAATTAAGTTTGACCGATAATTGTTATGATAAAGAGCAGAGAAAAGGCTAAATAAGTTCAACTTGAATCAAAAGTGAATTAGATGCAATCAATCAAGGAAAAATTTAATAAAGTTCAAAACTAAGTGGAAAAGTCTTGTAAACCTGGAAAACTGTAATTCACTGGTGACATGGTTTTAAATTTATCTGAATTATAGTTAGCAGAATAAAGCAACTTGACATCAACTTGAAAAATAGGTGAAAAGTTATCCTTTTAAGAGTAATTGTTGACCATATTGAACAAGAATTTGAGCAAATAAACGAGTTTCAACAAGAAAGATGCGTATTAAGACATGTTGAGGCAGAAAGAAGATAAAATATTGTGAGATTCAGACTTGAAATTGGCTATTTCAACAATTTTTCATGCTAACATCCACCTTTGAAATAAAGATCTTGAGAAACGGAATATTTTTTCCATGTTTATCTGGTTGAATTAGCTAAATATTGTTGTCCTGGCAAGAATGGGAAAAATAACATTTAATCAATTAACATTTTAACTTCGTAGCTCAAATTGTGCGAAACAATTCATTTTTGATCCTTTAAAGAGGATTTGCTTCAAATTTAGTGAAAAATTTTAGGATAAAATAGGAAATCAATAACTACAACAAAACTGATTCGGGATGTGAATCATGTATAAGGTGTAATCTAACCAAGAAAGGATGGACAGAGAGAGGGAAAAGGCGAAAGTAATTTGAATTGTAAAACATGTTAGGGAAGGACAAGTATCAAGAAAAAATTGAACGTCAATCCCAATTATACAGAAAATTGGTTTCCTTATTTACCAACATTTGCTCACTTTTTTGTTGAAACTTTTCATCTGAACCTTTTGTTGCAGTTGACTTGTCAGTTAATGTCTTCCCTTAAACCGTTTGTTAGTTTCAAAGGTGGAAAAGCATAAAAAAGATAAGAGACGATGACGAGGGATGAGGATGATGAGGAATAAAGTAAAATGAAAATAAAATATCAACACTATTGGAGAAGGAAGATGGAAGAAGAGAAGATAATCTCAAACGATGTGCTGAGCATTTTTGAACAACAAATTCTCTATTCCGTTAATAACTATTCTCCAGAGGAGAATTTTTCTTCTTATTTATCCTTGAATGCAGATCAAACTGTTGTCAAATAATACAACAAAAAAAGAGTTTAGGAAAAGGCTGGCAAGATGAAGGTTAAAGTAGAAAGTTGAAAGCTTAAATGATAATATAAGTTGCCATATATTACAATTCAACTTTGCATACAGCAAATCAGAGTTACACTTGTCTTTTGTTCATTTTTACATTCAAATAATTTCACCATCAATGAACAGAAACAAAAATTTTTTGCACTTTTTTGCTCCAAAATGTGAACAAATGTTTTGGAAATAAAAGAGGTAATCATGAAATAGTCGGAGCATTACTTTACAGTGATAAAATCTGGTTAACCTGGAGAGTCTGATAAGTTGGGTTCGAAGTGGTTCAAGTTTCCTGAAATAGCTGAACAGAATTATGTTTAATCTCTCAATCTAATCCACAATATAAGATGACAATGTAATTGTCAGTGTTAATTCAGCAAAGGAAAAGTTAATTTGTTGGCTTTCAAGATTTACCTGATTTGGTTGCATATTAAACTTGCCAGTTTCATGCATGTCAGTGGTGATATAATGTAGCAATGAAATGAGATACAATAATGATAATTATGATTACCATTATTATAATGCTAAATTATCAACATGTTAACCTTTCAAAAGAATTTGAAAGAGGAGAGAACAAAAAAATAAAAGATTCTGATGTTGATCATTACATTGGGATGATAATGATGATCGAGATGTGTTACTATTGGTTTTGGTTGTCACAAATGGGATGGTTTATATTATTTTGTCTGTCATCAAAAGTAATTACTATTAACCAAAATTGCAGATAATGTTTAGTCCTTTACTTTTTTAGTCATCAACATCAACAACAAGAGCATCAGCATCAACATCATTATCATTATCATTATCATTAACGTCAGCATATTCTTACTTTCGCCTGTTTACCAGAAATAATTGCTGTTTTAGGTGATAGCTAGTGTTAATCAATCACCCAATTTTCATTGGTAATGATGATGATGAAGAAGGAGTGAAACATAAAATGTCACTGAAAGATGATGGAAATTTGATATTTGATTTGAGAAGGTGAAATGAAAAGGAAGATAAAAAGGAAAATATCTAAGGAAAAAGTAAAAGAATAGAAATGAAAAAAGAGAAAATGAAAGAAAAATGATGAAGAAATGGGAGGTAAAAATGTGATGAGAAGAAATAGAATAGTCGAGAAGTGAAATTGAAGCTAAATGATATAAGTGACCTTTGAATAGCCAAGTAAGTGAATATAATTGAACAATATGATGGAAACTGAGATGTGTGGCAAGTTTTAACAGTTCAAAGCAAAATAGCATGTTAACATGTTCAATGTCCAAAAAACTGTTTGTACATCACATTGGTTATTTTTTCTTTACACAACATTAAGCTCAATGTTGAGTTTTCAGTAAGATAAGGGACAAAAAATGGGTTAAAATACATAATAATAATAATAAAAACATGGAATAACCAAACAACAAAGGCTAACGATAACGACATAGTTTCAACTTGGTTTTGTCTTTCACTTCTGTCCTAACACAAAATACATTGTATTATCATTTCCGAGGCAATTTGAGATAAAATTTTCAACAACCATTTGAAATCACGAGGACCATAAAAAAGTGGACACAAGATGATTACAGTCGAATGCACCTTTCGATTAAACATCGATTATTATGCTACAAAAGATTTCACTTAAATTAACTCTTAATTTTTGACTCTTGTTAAAACTTTTTTTTCTCTAAAGAAATGTAGAGTGTAAATCTGTGAAAATTACCAATGCATGATAATATTCAGCTTCATAAGTGTTGTTTATGCAGTGAAAGTAGTCAAGGAGGAGAAATGAATCAAGAAAATTTGACCAACACATATTATACACACAAAGAGGTATAAAAACACGAAATTGAGCAAACATAATGAATAGGATAAATTGCTAACCATTCTTGCTTTAGCTAATTCAGCAGCAAGTGAACCAGATTGTAATTTTGCATGATCCAAAGCAGATTGAGAGCCAGGAATATGTTTGGCAACCACTTTAGAGCCTTTACCAGATTGAGCTTCACCAACTTTCAGGGAGAGAAAAGGAAAAAGAGAGAAATTATAAGACAGAGAAATGATGTAATTAATTTTGAAATGACCTTTGTAACCAGAACTTTAATCAATGTATTGACAATGATTAATAGTATTGGTGTAATAAAAAGCACCATAATGATGAATTAAGGGTAACATTAACAATAAAAAATGATTAAATATAATAATTACATAATTCTTCTCGATCTAGAATACTTGGTCCACCACTGAATAGACCTTTGAAAAATGATTGTTTAGGTGGTTCAGGCATCTCTTTGAAAACATAAAGGTTACCAAGCATATCTGGAATAATATCTTTCAAGGAGGATGCAATGGTAAACTTTTGAATCTCCGAAGGTGAGGTTAAATACATTCCATGTCCATTGGTACTAAATGAAATTGTTCTTGCAATTCTGTAAGGTAAAAAGAGTAAGAAAAAAAGAAATAAAATTGAAAATCAATCATTGAAAAGGTGTTATTGAAAAATTTTCTCGATTGAGAGCACCTTTGGAGCTTTCAGGGTAAGTTCAAAAGAAATTGATGATTTATATAGTTACCTAACATTAACAGAAGGAAAATCTATATCAATTAACTGCTTGAGACTAGGAAGGCTGTAAACAACAATATTTCCGGTAGCAAGGTATGTTACCAAACACATGCTGTTTCCATTTTCTGTGATGAGAAAAATTGATAAAAAAAGGTTAAATTATTAAGTGGCAAAAGAGAAGAAAGAAAATTTCAAGCAATTTTAAATTCCATTGCCTGAAATTTTTTGAAAAGTATTTGCTAATGTACTATGTACCTGAAAACTTCATTTGAATAACATCTGCCCGAATAGTGAATGAGGTTTCCGAAAGCTCTGCTTTGGCAATGTACACTTGACTTGGTAGACTAATGGTTCGCGCTTGCTTCTCGGATACTATTACTACAAATTGTGAATCTTTCATGTCAGTTGAAGATGATGTGGGCGACACTTTACTACGACTACTGTTGAAATTTCCAGCACCTGAACTAGAAGAACGTGATATAGTCAAGGAACCAGATCGTTTATCTTCAAGTCCAGAGCTGGTCATTGCAGAAGCCGCATTAGAAGCATTACCTATACCGCTAGAGTTTCCTTTACTACCGGTTGGAGTGGCTGTTTTGGAATCCTTAGAGTGCTCGGCTAGACCTGCAATAGTTCCAGAATAATCTAAAAATGATATACACAAAATTGATCCCTTGAGTCTGAAGACATTGCCTAAAAGAAAGATGGAGTGAAGAAAGAAAACAGATTAGTTAAATTAGCAAAGTTAACATCGGAACTGATGAATAAAAAATGAGGAAAAAACATAGAAATTCAGACAGAAAAGAAAATTTCTTACCACTGGAAACAGCAAGGACTGATTGTAAGCACAAAACACGATTATCATTGGTCTCAGGAAGAGTAATAGTTACAGATAAAGCTGATCCTTGACTGGTTCCAACCCATAAACATGGTCCATATGATGATTCTAAACATAGCCAAACAAAATTAAATTAATATTATATAATTAATGACAAACTCAAGTCACAAAATTCAAAATAAAATGAAAATTAACAAAATGTAAAAACACGTTAATCTTTTTACCGCCATCTTTGCACAATAAAAAGGGGTTAAGCTACTTCCCCTAATCTAAAAAAATTAATCTCTAGTTAATCTTTTCAATCGTAAGATGGCGACAATAAAAAACAACATCAACAACAAAATTGAATCTAAGTTTCAAACATCGCACAATTAGTCTAATTAAATTGCCTAATGAAAGGTTCAACTAAAAGATGAACCAAATTAAATTAAAAAACATCAAAAGAACAATTAAGATGCTTAATAATAAGCAAATGAATATCTAAACTGATTGTCAAAGCAAAATAAAGTAACGATTTTAATGAAATGTAAATGAATAAAGAGATTGATTGAGAAACCTGAGAAGTGAAAAATGAATTGAGATGAAACTTATTACTAATAAAAAATTGAGTTTTGTGAACCTTCTGAATATCTAATTACTTGATTAAGTTGAAGGTAATGATGAAATGTAAATTAAAAGATGAATAAAAAAGGAATCAGTGATTGATGGTTGAGTGTAAGTGGAAACAAATTAGAAGCAGAATCAACAAAATAAAACCAATAACGGATCAATAAATTGATGAATCAAGTTAAACAGTGTACAATCAAGATTGATCAATTGTTATCAATTTTCTTGTTGAATTACTACAAGATAATGAAGGTTAAAGGAAAAGCACGAAGATGGTTAACACAGTTATAACTGTTATTAATGAACTGATTCGGAAACCAAGTTATTCAATGAGTTGGTTGGTTAACAATTTGCTTTGGTTAACTAACAAAACTTACCTGATTTAGTTGTATACGATTCAGCAAATGTTAGGCACTGTATGGGTTCACTGGAAATGTTATCCAAGCTTGAGACACTTGAACTTCTTGAGCGGGAAAAAGAGTTATCAATTTTATCTACAAGAAAAGAAACAGTCGAAAAAAGAATATTAGTTTCAAAAGTTATCCCATTAATAGTCAAATGAACAAACAGAAATAGTCAACAATGAATCGTCAAGAAAATTTTCACTAAAACTTGATATTAATATTCGGATGAAAATGAGTTATCAACAGGGAGTTCAACCGACAATGATACAAGTTTTTGCCTTTTTTGTCACATTTTCTTATTCGTTTTTTAGATATTGAATGTTTTTCATTTAATTTCAACTTCAATCAGAATACTTGAGAAATTTATTTGAATTGTCTTTAATTTTAGATTCATATTTGAATTTATTTCTGTGACTAGTTTTGATCAACGAAAATAAGAAGCAAAAAGTTGGTTTTATCAATTGATGAATTGTTATTGAAATTGCATTGCGTTCAGAGATTGATGGGACCATTTTGTCTAGTTAATGATAAAGGTCAAGAGTTAAGTAGATAAGAAAAAGGTAACCAAAAGTTGGATTAACAGGTATTTAATGGTTGGATAACATGATAGTTGCAGGGAGTTGAAGTTATTAATTGCAACTAAAGGTTGAAACGAGAAAAAAAGCAAGGTTAAAAGGGTCAAGATTAATACTTGAGCGAAATTGGAAAAGCATGTAATCGAGGTTTATAATGGTTAATTATAACTGTAATGTGAGTCGAGTCATTGAATGTTGTCAAGAGATTGACCATTAAAATGAGATTAATAATAGTGATTATTGATATCAATTATGAATTGATTGTGATTTGCATAATAATAATGTTAAGTTAATCAAAATTGACAAGAAACAAGTGAATATCAATAAAACAACTGTAATAATCGATTGAAGCAAAAAAAACTAACAATCCAAAGTGAACATTGAAACACAAGTAAACCGATTAAATCAATGAGTCCGAATTGAATGTTTACCCAAATAAGGGAAAAGAAGCTGAAGAAGAAACTGAACAATTGATTAAATAAAATTAGATTGAGCATGATAACTCAAATTGTAGACTCAATGTTTTCATTTAGTCTTTTTTTGTTCTCTTTTCACTTTTTCCTTGCCTTTTTATCATTACGTAAATAAAAGGTTTTTGATCGATCGTAATAGTTGAACGAGAGAGAAAAGTTTCTCATGAAAAATCATGATAATCATGTTATTACATGGAAAGATGCGGAAAGAAGAAGAAGAAGGAAAATGTTCAACAATAGTTACTAATCTGTTACCAAAGAGCAACATTGGATCAATAGTGAAAATGCCTTTAAGTGATGACAGACGAAAGGTAAACAGAGGCAACAAAAATGAATGGTCCAGAATGTTCATGCTCAGGTATGAATATTCATTGAATGTGGAGAGGAGAAATAGTTTCAACTTCCGAACAAGAGAATGAAAAGGAGACTGAAATATGAAAGCATTCAACATGAGTAATGATAATAGTTGTAACAGCAAAAGTTCATCATTACATGATATCAGAATTCAATTAACTCTTGCATTTGGAATGGTGAAGAAGAAGAAGAAGAAAAATGAAAACTTTTAGATAATTTTGTCAACAATAACATTGTCAAAGTTGGAAAGTTTGAGTTTCCTTTTTTCGTCCTCTTCATCAGTTTACAAGGTTCAATAAGGTTTCTCATGTTTTCCATCAATGAACATTTTCAAGATTCTGAAGGGAAAAGAAACGAACATGAAATCAACCATTAATAAATATTCTTCAATGAATTTTGCTCCATTTTTCCAAAGGTTATCATTCAGCATAACTATTGACATTTATCTTCATTCAGATGTTTCAGAAAAAAACTCCAAAATCTAAATTTATGATTAAACTTATTCTCATTGACCTTTTTTGAAATTGAAATTTCCAAATTTTGCTACTAATTATCAATTCGAAGGAATAATGTCCTTGATTGAAATTTTTCCTTCCATTGCTTCGTTTCTCACGTAAAATTCATTTTCGAAAAATTCCAAGTTTCATCTTTTCCATTGAATTGATGAATTGCGATTAATTTCGTCAACTTTTTTCTCTCTGTTTTTTCGAAATCGATGAGATTTTTGTTTTTTGCCTGAGGAACAAAAGGAATGATAAACCAATTAAATGAAGTAAAAATTTTCTTTGGTTTCATCACTTCATGTGCTTTATAGCTTTGGATTGATTCTGTTTGCAAACAGAAACATTTAAGCTAATATTGATCAGATGAAAGATTCAATTGAAAGATTAAAAAATATCAACTTCTATTGTTGGGAAAAGTTGCCGATTAAAATCGTGAATCTGTTGAAGCTAAACGATTACGAGTTTAATTGGTTTGAAAATTAAAAATGAATGAAACTTGAATAAGTGTTCTAATTAGATGAATGAATGAATTTTGCAAAACGTAGCTTGTTAATGAGTTTAGTGTTCACCTGAAGTTTACTTTTCAATAAGTGAAGCAAACATTTGTATTTGAAATGGTTTTGGCTGATTAATGCAAATAGAAGAGGGAAAAATGGAAAGGTAAACAATCAGAGAATGCAAATAATTAAACAGAATAATAGTTTTACTCAATTAGTTGATTGTAATAACAATTGTTTGGGTAAAAAGGTTTCAATTATTCGATGGATAAACAGTAAAGGTTGGAGGTAAAAAAAGCCGAAAAAATGTTGATATCAAGTTTGAGGTTTTACTTTTGAGAGGCAAAATAATTAATATTATGATTATTTGGTTGTTTTTGCTTGAAAAGATGCAAAAGTGAAACCAGCAAAAGGTTTCAACAAGTTTTCATGAACAGTAAAAGTTGAGAAGCAATTTAAATGACAAAAGTCCATTTTTTGATCGACTTGAAAAGTCGAGAATAAATTAGCATCTATTAGAAGATCAAGTAATCGATAATTTTTTGAATCACTTTGAATGGTTGAAAAGGCATTAAAAATGAAACTAATGAGATTCAAAATGAGCAAAATTTTGTGATTGATATTCACAATGTTCAACTTTAAAATTTAATTTAATAAATCAAAATAATGATCAAATTGAATAATTAGAAAGTTTATTGAAATGGAAATTTTGTTTTTCACTTTAATCAAATAATGATTTTCCCATTTCCAATGATAATTGGTTAAAATGAATTCAATTTCAACGAATTTGATAAACATAAGATGCATGATGCTGATCACGATCTAGTCGTAAATCCAAGTGAAGATGAAAAATTGAATCAAACTGAAACTTTTTATTCCAAATTTGGATTTGAAGAAAACTCAAAATTACGATTTCTTTTTGCTCCAAATCGATTTCAATCTCAACTTACGATGAAATTTCTGAATCACAATTTCGACTTGAATCGAGGTTCACTCAGTATCATGTTCAGTCATTTAAAGTATTAAAGAAGACTAAGATTTTAAACATGAATCACTAATGGAACCATTAACATTGATTTTTGGCCAACCTCACTTTGTTGACTTGTGATAAACAAGAAGAAAAGATTATCATGAAAAAATCTCCACCCTGAATTCATTCCTTAGATAAATATTTCATCGAATGCGATACAAAAATTAAAGAAAAGTTCCATCAAAGTTTGACATTTCTGTCAAAGTCTCGATTCTGTCTTTAATACAAAATATCAATTCAATGTTTTAAATATCATCTTGAGAATGATTTTAATATGGAAAATGTTTCTAATTATTCTTGCTATCATTGAGTTCTGAAGGAAACAATTATCATTTAGTTGCTTCAAATTGTTCAGTAATGAATAAAGTTGACATTGTAAGTGTTTTTTTGCATGAAAACTTGGCGTAATGAAACTGATTATCATTTGAATGTTTTTTTTTGTTTTCAAATGTAATTATTAAAGTAAATATAAATTACATTCCAACAGTTATTTAAATGATACTTTCATCGAATTCAACTTTTCTCATTTGAATAATTATGATTATTTTGTACGTTAATTGTTAATGATAATTTTTCATGTGATAAATGGAGAAAATTGTTCACAATTAAGAGTGAAAAAGGTGGATCATTAAGGTTCAATAATTGATTCTCTTGTTGAAGATTTACTGCAAAACTGGTCGACACTTGATAAGCTGAATGCAATTTACTAATTATCTGGTGAAAATTAAATCTAAATGTTGTTGCCGAAACATTTTTTGAAACTTGAATCTTGATTAGAACCAGTTTTTGTTCAGTCTTTTATGGTAACAGAATAAAATTGTTAACAAATTTGCTCAGCTATCATTAGTAAAACTTGGAAATGAGTTTGGGAGTGAACAAGAATAATCAGTAAATTTCAATTTTGGGAGTGAAAATGGATATTAGCTAACAATGAGAAATGAAAGTTAATATGCTTGTTTCATGTTTCATCGAATCAAGTGAAGAGAAGAGTAATCAAAAGAGTAAATTAACTTTGCAATTAATATTGAAAGGTAGAGAAGAGCACTGGAGGAGGGAAGAAAATTAACTGGAGAAATTCATATTTGCATGTAAGGATATTTCTAAACAAAAATTTAGAGATTTTTGCCAGAATCTTTTACCCATGAGATGACAGAATCGATAAAAGTATTCAAAGACAATATCAAAATAAACAACAATTGTCTCATGAACAATTTGTAATCAGATTATCTGAAAGAACCAACAAGTATTTTCATCTTTTTCAGTCCAAAGAAAAGGAATTCTAAACTCCATTTGGAAACGTTGGGATTGATTCAAACGAATTTACTTTCAAATAGAAAATTTCATGAAATTCAAAAGTATTGTTGCAGAGATGAATGTAATTGATAAGAGATTTTGCTAAAATAAAAGTAATTTTGCATTATATTTTGACTGTTTAATGAAAAGTAAATGTTTAATGCCATCAATGTTGTCGAAGTATTTATCGTCTCATGAGCAGAGAGAAACTTTTAATTGCTAGTTTTGTTCTGAGTCTCAATGAATTTAATTCAATTATTGGCTGATAATAAATTTTTATGATTTACTTTGTTTTACTTTCTTAAAACATCTTTGAATATAAAATGAATTTCAATCTTTCGTTCAAAATTTGCTTTGAAAACTGA